TTGCAAAGGCAGTTATGACTAGGTGTTGCAATCATTTTTATATGATGTAAAGGTGGTTACAACCATCATCAAAGTTGCAGTTGGTATCCTTAAACTACCTTTAAATAAATAAATAATAATAAAGCCTAGATAAAAGTATATTAAATTAATTTACATGAATAAATATAGTAATGAATATACTTAATAATAAGATTTGCACCAACATGGCATCAGCTGGCTTTCTGGATAATTGTTTGCAATATCTTCATACAAACATAATGGTCTAACATTTATGTTACTAACTGTTAAAAATTAAAAAAAGGATTTTAAGCTGATAATTCTCCTATATGTAAGAAAAAACCTAGTATGTAAAAGTTGTGTGGATCCTGGTGTATTCTTAAAATATATATTCAAAAGAATTTATTTTATTAAAAAATTTTTTATTTTCACAAAGCATGACATGTCATGTTAAAGATCGACAAAGAGGTTCCAATTTTTCTAAATTTGATTTCCAAATTTGGTAAAATCCTTGACTGTGCTCAAGATTATGATATTATTTTAGTACAAAAGCTTTAGAAATATTTAACCAATAACTTAATTACAATATAAAAGAGTTATTGGTTTATTAAATTAAGCCAATAATTAATTAAAAAATAGGATTAATTTTAGATAAATATTGGCATTTCAATATTTACTAATAGGCTTTTAGATTATATGATAAAAATACTAAGAATATTATTATCAGTATGCCAATACCTTAATTATTTTTTTAAAGAATAATCAGATTTTGATATTTACTGATACCCCATTACCCAATTTGGCATCATTCAACAGTAAAAAAAGAACCAATAGATTATATATAAGTAAAGAAAGATGGGACCCTAATTAGCAAAAAATAATTTTAAACCATAACAGCTTGATAGCTTGATTGACATAGTGATGCAGTCTTGCAATTTTTTTATTGTATAATTAATTATATATCTTTAATAAAATAAAACAAAAAAATATGACTTAGCAATATAATCATCCATCAAATATTCAAGATGGTCATAATTATTGTTCAATACATTTGATGTTATAATTGGCATAACAAACAATTGCATCACCCAGGTAGTAATAATACCAAGGCCATGCACAAACGAAACTTTTAATAATGCCTGTCTACCCAGATCTCTGAGGTTCACAAAATAAATTATGGTTCCTTATGAATAATAAATCTGATGTTGATTACAGGTGTCAGATTTAATTAAATTTTCCTGTCACAAACATGTGGTTGGGTGCTCTTAACACGCCTCATAATTGTGTAATTTTTTCCCACAGGTGAAGGTCCCCAATGTTTGAAGGCTTTGAACAAAACATTCCCTTGTCTTCCTCCCAGACCAGGCTTGACTGCTACCATATAAGCGTTGATTGCTTATGAGAGTTAGGATTTATGATGCTTGCTTTGTGTTATCTCCATCTAGAATAAAGTTGGTGTCTGCAACTCTGTAACCCAGGAGTTTGTTCTGTCTTGTCAGTGGCACGCATACCAACAACCCTACCCCCATCTACTTAAATAACAAATTCAGTTGACAAATAAAATTAAAGAGAAACAGAGAATTTGGGAATGATTAATTTATAACATACCAAACGAAATCCGAACCATTTTGTGACTTTTTTCTTGTTGGCCATATTGCTGACAAAGATGTATATAATTATGTAATAATTTTAACCTGCAAGACAAGGGACTGCTTGAGAAAAAACCCATCCAGTCTCCTACCCAAATTATTAAATTGGTTAGCATCAGAGAAACAGAGAATTTATGAAAATGATTATACAAAACAAACACTATTTTACAACTTTCCTCTTAACATCAGAGCTCAAATGCAATTTCAGGGCCACCAACCCTGCTCTGAATTGCGACCTCCTGTGCTTGGAACGAGTTGCAGTTTCTCTTGATATTCCTCCAGAATTGCAACATCTTGGTCACAGAGCCATCCTTACCCTAGAGTAGGATCGTTGCAGGCAACTTTTCGGCCAGTATGCCAGCGGCCATCTCTGGTCTGGGAAGATTAGTGAAAGTGTCATTGACGATTGATGCAATCTCCAGGGCCTTGGGTCCCCCCCCTGGAAATCGGTTGCAACATTGTATCATCGGGGGCAGCGTGGTCAGATTAGCCTTTGTACATGAGGAACGTGTGTGAATGACTGTAAAATGTTCAAGGCAGTGCGTGCTTCAACGTCTGCCAATTTCCGATAATCAAACATCGCATACTCGAAATGTTTCTTTTTCAATGGTGTATTGCCTTGACATCTTATAGTTAAATTATAGTAATATTATTATTATTAACGATTACGAAAAGCAAAATACCAATCGTTCGTTGTTGATAAGGATCTTATAATTACCCAGCAAGATCTGCTCCGCGTTTTGATTCCAATTAAAATATTTATAAACTAAAAGACACCTCATACATTTCAATACAAATAAAAGAAAGTACCTCTACTATTAACACTTTTTCTTTAGGAGATTCGCATTTTGTCATCTTGGATTGTCAAAATAAATTGTTTTCCAAGGAAGAAAAAAACCATGCTAATACATAAATAATTAATGTGTACGCGTTTGTCGATCAAATAATTTTTTTCTTTAAAAAATTAAAAATTAAAAATGTCATTCGCGATCAACAAAAGAAAAGCAGAAAAAGAACCAAGAGAAAGACGCGAGTAAGTGTTTATCAAAAGAATGGCGGTGATTATCGCCACTCGCCGCCACTCTGGTTAGAATATCATAATACACATTATTAAATTTTACATAATTATTTTAAAGAACAGAAGGTTGGTCTGGTGATTTGTTTCCCAGAAAAAGGAAGGCTAAATCTCAGGTGTATACAGTAGATATATATATATATATTTGTTTGATGATGATATTTGAATTAGATATAGAGAAATATTTTATTTAGATTTAAAAATATATTAACAATAAATATTTGTTTATTAAAAATAGTATGATAGATTTATTCCAAATAATACAAATGGCCAGCAATTCCTGCACAAAAATATCAGGACTGGAAAGGACCTGAATAGTCCTGAACAAGAATATCAAAAGGAATTGGCATGTGCATGTGGATTGGCAATTGATAAGAATATATTGGAATTTAAGGTTGAACAGCATCAACCCAATGATCATTGTCAAAACATTGATCAATTAAACCAAATTTACAATTGTCAATCAGAGTCATCATATATCAAAAAACGTATAATACCAACAAGCCCTGAATATACACTTGATGTACTAGGAGTGATTGATGACTATTATTTAAATATATTGGATTGGAGTAACCAAAATATAGTGGCAGTTGGAATAGATAAAAGAGTTTATTTGTGGGATATAATAACTGATGAGTTGTCAGCAATTACTATAATTAGAAGTGGTACTAATACTATTTCTAGTCTTTCATGGTCTGAAGATGGTGATCATCTT